TGAGACTTCTGATTTCCAGCCTGTGCTATTTTCTACAGCCTGCTTCTAGTTATAAAGCGGGGGGGGGGGGGGGGAAGGGGTTTGGAATGTACTGCCAGTCGGAGTGGCTTGTATCAGCCTTCTGGTTTAGTGTTCCACATCCTCCTGGGAATCCTCAGCTTCCTGAGGCACTACTCCGTATCTCCAGCTCCTGGATCCCACTCACTGCATTAGGCGGTGGGCAAGTGCACTCCACAAGCAGAGGAGGGGGGAGACGCCAACTGACGCACCTGCTCCAAATGTGCCTCCCCATTTCATCACTCCATCACCCAAACCCCTTCCTTATCTTGTATCTGTTGATTCCACGTGGGGAGGTCCCTTAGTCAAGTGCTCTCCAGCGGTTTTCTCCTGAATCTATGAGTTCTACTTGTCACACAATTTGATCTTCATGAAATTAATCAATCCTGTCTGTCTCTACCTGCCAATAATCCCTTGAATTTTTAGGGTTCTGATAGTTCCATATAATAAAGACAAAGAGTAAGCCAGTCCCAATTTATAAAATCAGAGTCATGTACGGGGCGCCTGGGTGGCTTAGTCGGTTAAGCGTCCGACTTTCGCTTAGGTCATGATCTCGCGGTTCGTGGGTTCGGGCCCCGCGTCGGGCTCTGTGCTGACTGCCAGCTCAGAGCCTGGAGCCTGTTTCAGTCTGTGACTCCCTCTCTCTCTGACCCTCCCCTGCTCACGCTGTCTCTCTCTCTCTCTCCTAGAAATTAAAAAAAAAAAAAGAACATATAAAATCAGAGTCATGTTTCTTTTGTTGCTGTGTCAAATTTCTCCGATTGGCCTCTGATATTTTTAGCTTGAGACAGGATAAGGGAAAATCAGAAGATCTGAGCATCTCATTTCTGGCCACTGACACATTCAGTATGTTTAATTTTATTATTCTTTATTTTTTAAGGTTTATTTATTTTGAGAGAGAGAGAGAGGGAGAGAATGAGTGGGGGAGGGGCAGAAAGAGGGACAGAGAATCCCAACCAGGCTCCACACTGCCAGCACAGAGCCCAATGCAGGGCTTGAACTCACAAACTGTGAAATCATGACCTGAGCTGAAACCAAGAGTTGGACACCTAACTGACTGAGCTACTCAGGTGCCCCTAATTTGTTTTTCTTAATACTCAACCTCACTTAAAGCTATGATTAGCTTAGATTTTCAATGAGAGCAAAATTAGAAAAACCTCTTTTGTAATATAATTTAAGAAATGTATCCTATTGTTTTTTCCTTTAGTAATTCTTTTTAAAATTTTTTAATGTTTACTTATTTTTGAGAGAGACAGACAGACAGCGTGTGAGTGGAGGAGGGGCAGAGAGAGAGGAAGACACAGAATCTGAAGTAGCCCCAGGCTTTGAGCTGTCAGTACAGAGCCCGACATGGGGCACGAACTTACAAACTGCAAATCATGACCTGAGCCGAAGTCAGATGCTTAACTGACTGAGCTACCCAGGTGCCCCCCTTTAGTAATTCTTTTATTCCTTAGAAGACTAAATCTTAAAGGAATAAAGTTTCCTCAAGTAATAATAATTGGAATTTCAAGTCTGGAGAAGTCCTCTGCTGTGATGATTAGTTTCATGTGTCAACTTGGATAGCCTATGCTGCTCAGTGATTCAATCACTAAGCCATGTATTGCTGTGAAGGCATTTTGTAGATACCGCTAACACTGACAATCAGTTGCCTTTACATAAATACTACCCTTGATAATGTGATGGGCCTCACCTAATCAGTGGAAAGGCCTACCTAAGAGTTACCAGCCTGCCAGTCTGCCCTACGGACTTCAGATTTTATAGTGTCCACAATCACATAAACCAGCTCATGAAATACATCTCCAGATACATAATGTATGACTTCATTACCTCATATACATATAAACATGTAATTAAACCTCTCTCTATAGAAATCTCCATTTCTATATAAACACATACATAAAGTTATAAATCCTAGCTCTGTTTCTCCAGTAGAGCTCTCACTGACACAAGGGGTGGATGTCCTTAGGCCCTGAAAGAGAGGGAAAGAAAACTTGCAAGTATAAAAGAGTCATGTTTAGGGGCGCCTGGGTGGCTTAGTCGGTTAAGCGCCCGACTTTCGCTTAGGTCATGATCTCGCGGTTCGTGGGTTCGAGCCCCGCGTCGGGCTCTGTGCTGACTGCCAGCTCAGAGCCTGGAGCCTGTTTCGGTCTGTGTCTCTCTGACCCTCCCCTGCTCACGCTGTCTCTCTCTCTCTCTCCTAGAAATAAATAAAACATTTAAAAAATATATTTTTTTAAAAAAGTGTCATGTTTATAAAGTTCCTCTCAAGTATTTTTTAGTATAGGCCAATCAATTCGCTGGCTAAGTCATTGAGAGGAAGAAACCTTCTAAGTGAGAAATTCTGGTTAAACAAAACTTCTTCAGCTCTGAGAAACAATTCTGATTGATACACTGACGTTTCTGAAGTTATCTTTGATAACTCTCCGTTGGCGGCCCTGGTTGCCACAGCCGAAGTCACTTCCCGTGGTCATCCCCCCCGCCCCCCACAGTGCCCACATTCCTACCTTGTTCCTCCTCCATCCTCCTCTCCCATTACTAACAGAATTCAGTATTTTCAAACTTCAGTGGCTTCTTCATAAGATAGTCTAAGCATGAAAGAAATTAACCCCAATCTACTTCTAATTAGTAATGCTTTTCCTGGCCACGCATTTTTCTTTCCAAGTTTCATTCTTCTTCTTCTTTTTTTTTTTTAGTTTATTCATTTTGAGAGAGAGAGAATGCGAGCAGAAGAGATGCAGAGAGAGAATCTCAAGTGGGCTCCACGCCCACCAAACTGATGTTTGGGTGGAAACCAGCTACTTAGGGGCTCCTGGCTGTCTCAGTCGGAGGAATGAGGCTCTTGATCTCAGGGCCATGAGTTCAAGCCCCACGTTGGGCGCAGGGATGACTTAAGTAAACTTAAAAAAAAAAAACCAACACAGCTCTTTAGACAGCATTTCTGTACTATTTTACTCTAAGTGCTGCAAAGCAATACTTTCTTATTTAATTTGGGGGGAGGGTAGGATAAAGTGGAATATCACAACATGATTCTTACAACACAGATTTTTCCTTGTGTTATAAATGTAATTCAAGTTCAGCATCTCATGATTTAAAAAATTACAAAATGCAAGAAAGTAAAAATAATGACAATCTAATATGCATAGTGACTACCTAGAGATATTTTAATACATTGATTTCATCTTCTTCCTCTGTTAAATCTCTTCTAATTCGTAACTCATGATATACTGAATATAACTCTATATTCCATGTTTTTATTTAAAAATTACAGTATACTTACCCTATTATACACGTCACAGTTAATTTTTGTTGACTGAAAATATTCTTTCCACGGGGCGCCTGAGTGGCTCAGTCAGTTGAGTGTCTGACTCGCTCAGGTCATGACCTCACAGTTAGTGGGATCAGCCCCATGTCTAGCTCTGTGCTGACGGCATAAATAAACATAAAAAAAAAAAATTCTTTCCAGTGAGTCAATCATAATTAACCATTCCCCTATCATTGTTTATTTAGATTGTCTTTACTTTTGCTGATATTATAAACATCAATGCCATTAATATCTTCACGTTGCAGGAAAAACAAAATTCCAATTCCATCCTCTCAGTGTGTCAGGCTGGGCGTGAGAATTAAAAGGACAGAATACAGATTACCAGGGGAAAAGCAAATAAAATTTCACATGGCCATGGGAGCTCCCCCCTTCTTTGCCAAAGAAGTGGCAAAACCTTAGTGCTTACATACTTGGTCAGATGAAGAGAGGCAATTGTGGAAAAGTAGCTAAAACACAGGAGGAGACCAAAGGAAGACAAGAGTTATTTTAAGAAGTGCTGTTTGTACCGAAGTCTCCTTATGCCTATCCCCCCAGTCTCTGGTGATCAGAAGGTTCCTTTCTTCCTGGGACAGGGAAGGCAGCTTTCACAGGAAGTTTTATCTCCAGTTTTCAGGAAGAAAAGTGGAGATCAGAACACCCTTCTTGTATCTGGTGTTCTTAAAGTGCCTGCAGCTCAAAATAATCCTAATGTCATGTTCCCAGCTGGTGTATTCCACCACCCTTCGATGTATATATAATTTTATTCCTTAGGGCAGATTCCCAGAATTGGAATCATAGTATCAAAGGAGAAATTATTTTTAAAGCCTCTGACACATAAAAAGCAATATTTAAAATCAAAGAATGTGCTATCTAACAATGGTCTTTTTTATTTGAGGAAGTCCTTTATTTGATGCTGTGCTTTTTGCCTCCTTCATACATTTAGAGAATGCACCTTCATTCTCTTTATTGCTAAAGAGAGACCGTCCCTCCCTATTGCTGGACAGGACGGCTCATAATTCGGTTTTACTGGGTTTCCTAGAGACAGCCCTGAGAACACGTTTCCACCACCTTTGGTAACTGGGAATTTATCTCCCATGAATAATTTAGCGCCTATGCGGCCAGGAACCCAACACCAGTCTAGTCATTACTTTTTTTTTTTTTTTTTTATTTCTAGGAGAGAGAGAGAGAGAGACAGCGTGAGCAGGGGAGGGTCAGAGAGAGAGGGAGACACAGACTCCGAAACAGGCTCCAGGCTCCGAGCTGGCAGTCAGCACAGAGCCCGACGCGGGGCTCGAACCCACGAACGGCGAGATCATGACCTAAGCGAAAGTCGGACGCTCAACCGACTAAGCCACCCAGGCGCCCCTAGTCATTACTCTTGATCTCTCTTCTCTGCCAATGCCAAGAAAGATCTAAAGTGCTCCCAGTGTGCCGTGGCCTGCGGCGGAAGCCCCAATGGACGGTCAGACAGGTACCGGGCCTCGGGGTCTGAACGGAATCCAAGGCCATCCAGCCTCCAGCCCCGCCTGGTTCCAAGGGAGCGCCGAAGGGGCGGGACTTCACGTTTCCCAGCAACCGCGCGCTGCCCCCCGATTGGCTGGTCGCCGCACGGCCGCCATTTTCAAACCCCGGAAGATGGCGGCGGCGGCGGCGGCGCCCTCCTGACAGGAACTGCTCTCCGGGCAGAAGCGGTCGGGCGCGGTGCCCGACCCAGCGGGTCTCCCGGGCGCCCGGCCACCGCCCCACCCCCCTCCGCGCCATGGAGCCCGAGCTGGCTGCCCAGAAGCAGCCCCGGCCGCGGAGGCGAAGCCGCCGGGCCTCCGGGCTCAACGCAGACGGCGCCGCGGGACCTGCGGCCGACACCCCCAGGCCGGGGCCCGACGGCGGGTAAGCGCTGGGGGCCGCAGCGGCCGGGGAGCCGGGGTAAGGGGGGCGGGGAGGGCGGGAGGGACGCGGAGGGCCTCCTCCGGCCCTTCCCCCGGCGGGGCGCCAGCTCTGTACTCGCCTCCTCTCGCTCGTCCTGGCCCTCCGGCGGGGCGCGGGCCGCCCGGTCCGCTCCTCTCGGGCCGCGCGCCGGCTGACCCCTCCCTCCTGCTCCCCCTCCCCCGCCGGGGCAGGGGTGGGGGCGCGGCGCGGCGGAGGGGCGGGTTCTCCGCGCCGCGGGTCCCTCACGCAGTCCCGGGGGCGGGGACGCGCCGGGAGCGGCGGGCCTCGGGAGGGCGGCGGCCCTGTCGCCCGAGCCGCCCGCCTTCTAGCCGGCGCGGGACGTGGGCCGAGAGCGAGCGCTCCGGCGCGGCCGAGCGGACGCCGGCCCCCTGCTTCCCGAGAACCGGCCAGTCCTTGAACCCCGCCCGGCTCACGGCCGCAGCCTCGCGGGTGGAGAGATCGCGGGGGACGGTCCCTGGCCTGGTCTGTCCCCGGTCTGTGCCGTGTGTGGAAAGGGTGGGCCCCACAGGGTCTCAGGGCCGTGTCCGGAAGGGGGGGGGGGGGCGTGTGCAGAAGTCCTGGCGGCCTCCCTGTAGGAGGCGGCGGGTTCAGGGACTGGCCGCGCACCTTCCACCTCTAAGGTCCGCATCTGCGAAATGGGGATTCTAATCGCACCGCGTCCTACAAGTTGTAAACAGGAGTACGCAGCGCCCATGCGCACGGGGGTGTGTTAACCGTTTGCTGGTTGTTAATGAAGAGCTCCGCAGCTGCGCGTGCTTTCAGAAGCCCCGGGGTCCGCGTCGCATGCTGCTCTGCGTACAGCACGGCCCCTTTCGTGCTTCATAGTCTAGTTATGCCCGGATGCGCCGACCCCTTTTTCAGAGGTAGGACACCTGACTTTCATCAACAAGGCATTTATCAACCCACTGGGGGGTTTGTTTTTAGGTTTTTTTAAGGTTATATATTTTAGGGGGTGCGCGGGAGAGGTCCAGGGAGGACACAGAGGGCCTCCAGCAGGCGCCCCGGCACAGTGAGCGCGGAGCCCCGCGAACCCACAAACCGCACCATCCCCTGAGCCGAAACCGAGAGTCGGAGGCCCATCCGGCTGAGCCGCCTAGTAGGCGACCGCATAAACCCCTTGTTAAGTGACTCTGCAGAGATCTAGGGGTTTGGGTGGTTGTGTTTTTTGTTGTTGTTGTTGTTGTTGTTTTTCCATTAGAAACTGATTTTTATTATTCTGTAGTTTAGGGTCCTTCTTGTCTTACACCTTTGTGAAATCTCTGTAGTGATTGCAGCCTCTATTTAACAAGTGTTGAGAGCAGAGAGAAAGAAGGCATCTCAGCCTGAGAGATGGAAAGACTAGTTACGGAAAAGAGAATCTCAGAAATAGGGAGAAAGACCATAATCCGTACATACAACATCGGGTGGTCATGCTGGGAAGAGAGGTAAGGCATGGACAAGGGGATAGAGATCACAGAGGGCAGTGTTGCTTTTTTATTTTTCTTTAATGTTTATTTTTGAGAGAGAGAAAGAGAGTGAGCGAGCAGGGGAGGGGCAGAGAGTGGAAGAGAGAATCCCAAGCAGGCTCCACGCTGTCAGCACAGAGCCTTATGGGGGCTTGAACTCACGAATCCTGAGATCATGACCTGAGCTGAATCAAGAGCCATCGGCGCTTAACTGACTACACCACCCAGCGCCCCCTCCCCTCACCAGTGTTGCTGTTTTTATTTAAAAGAGCAAAAGGAAAAGCCTCCCATGGTGTTGACATTTGAGATCTGAAGAGATTAAGGCTCTAAGCCCTGTGGAAGGGGGGGCGGGACAGCAAGTGCAAAGGCCTTGAAGTAGAAGCTCATCTGGTGTGTTTAAGGAAATGCGGAGAAGCCAAGACGACCCAGTGGAGTGAAACGGGAAGAAGGGCACAGGCAGAGGTCAGAGACGCGGCCCGGCGAGATGGTGCCGTACCTGCGATAGCACTGGAAGGACTTCAGATCTGAAGTAGTGAGTTGGGGAGCAAGACCGAATGGAGTGACCTGTGTTTGAAAAGGACCACTGACTGTTATGTGACGAGAGAAGCAGGGACCAGAAGCAGAGGCTGGTGTAGTCGAGACATCATATGAGAGTGGGAGACGGGAAACATATTCGTCTTTGGGATGTGTTTGAAAATGGGATTTGCAGGGGGATTAAGTGTGGAGTTAACAGAAAAAGGCAGAAGGAACACGAAGGCTTCTGGCCTGAGCGCTGGGCTTTACTCTTCTCAGAAAAGGAAGACTAGGGCAGAAGCTTGCTTTGGGAATGGGTTTCGAATCCTCTTAAAGAGTTCATCACAATTTTTTTTTCTTTTCTCTTTCTTAAATTGAAGTATGATTAAGAGACAGTGTTATATGAGTTTCAGGTGTATAACGTAGCGATTGATTAGTCTACTCATTGCTGTCTTTTTTGCTTTCTTTTTCTTAACCTTTTGTTGAACTATCACACTTAAAGAGTGCACAGATCTTAAGCGTTTAGCTCACTGAAATTTCATAAAGCAAACCCACCTGTGGAGCCAGATATAAATTTGAGAGTTGTCAACAAATAGACTTGAAATCATGGAACTGGGAAATCATCTAGATTGTGATTATAAAGAAGAGTTTGAGGATAAACTCCTGAGGGCCCCCCAACATTTAAAGGTCGGGGTAAAGAGGATACTCAGAAGGAGCAGCTGGTGAAGTAAGAAAGGAACCAAGAACCGTACCGGAGAGGCCCAGTGAAGAAAGGCTCTCAAGAAAGAGGATACAGTAGACTGTGTCAGACACTACTGAGAGGGAAGGCTTAGAAAGCGTAAGTTAGATACGGAACAAAAAGACCATTAAGTCTGGTAATGAGAAGAGCATATTATCTTAGATCATTTCCATAGACTAATTAAAATACTGAATTTACAATGTTTGCAATGGGTTGAGAAGAGAATGAGGTATGATTTTTCAAGAAATATGTGAATCCCAGACACTAGAACTATGGAGTTGGAAAATACTATACTTACTCAAAAGAGTTTATAATTTTATGGAAAAGAAAGATAAATTAATAGTTGTGATAAAAGTCACTGTAGAGGTATAACAGGATGCTACTGCAAATAAAAGGAACACTCACAAAAAGAACAAGAAATGATTTCCTGTTGAAATCTCTGAGTCTTGGAGGACCAGGTTAGAGAGGTGTAAGTGGGTGATCTCATGTAGGGGAGAAAGAAGCATGTGAAAAGGTCCTGAGGCAAACAAACATGAGTTCTAGGTATCACTCCTAGTTGGCTGTGGCTAGGGGCTAATTGTGTAATGGGGCGGATTTAGGGATAGTGATGAGAGATTATTCTAAAGAGCCATATCATAAAGGAGCTTTGAGTGCCGTGAGAGTTTGGGTTTTATCCAAGGTGATGGGGAAATACTGAAAGACAAGCCAATGACATGATCGTATTTGCATTTTAAAAGGTCATTCCCTCACTGAGAAAAATAGGTAGCATTTGGGAGTCATAACACTAAGTCTTATAAAACTATTTCTAAAACGTGCCGATATACATAAAATTTCAAATTTGTGGTCCCTTGCAGGCCGGCTCTGGGTACCAAATTAAAAATCCGAAGTACAGATGATGACTTGGTGGGAGGTCAGTCTGCAGCAGCCTGAATGAAAAATGAGGAGCGTTTGAATCTGATAGGTGGTGATGAGATTGGAAAACAAGAAATACTGAGTGTGGATTACACTTTGAAGAAGCAGGAAGGCAAGAAAGAATAATGGAGGGAGGCGACACAAGTTTGTGCAGCAGACTCTTAAGGGATAAACTTGTTATCTTTGGGTAATAGGTAGACGGAGGGGTGGAAGAGACAGAAGAGAAGAGATGGTTAGCCACGAGGCAGAAAAGGAGGGAATTCAAAGCAAGGGTAAAGAATTTAGCCTGGCTGAGAGCTGTGGGTGGTATGCTTTTAGGTGAGTTTGAGGAAAGGGGTAGGTTGTGAGCAAGAATTTGAGATCTTTACTGCCAGGCTTTCATTTTTCTGTGTGAGGGCGGAAGTAAGGTCTGCTGAGAAAAGGGTGATGGCAGCAGTGAGGTTCAAAGAGCCTTGGAGGAGAACTCGGGAGTGAAGTAACTAATCCGAATTCCATCTTCCAGAAAGGCTATGAGACCTCTCCAAGGATACATAAAATATGACAGTAATATTAATTAATAGTGGAATAAGAAACAACTATTCAAGCTGATATCAGATCCAGAAATCATAAGGAAAAAGACTGATGTATAAGTCTATGTAAATATAAAACCTGGGGCGCCTAGTGGCTCAGTGGGTTAAGCGTCCGACTTCAGCTCAGGTCATGATCTCACGGTTTGTGGATTTGAGCCCCACGTCGGGCTCTGTGCTGACAGCTCAGAGCCTGGAGCCTGTTTCAGATTCTGTGTCTCCCTCTCTCTCTGCCCCTCCCCTGCTCACATTGTCTCCCTCTTTTTCTCTCTCAGAAATAAATAAAACATTAAAAAAAAAAGAACCATTTAATTTTTATATATGACGTAAAGTACGGGTACTGTTTCTTTTTCCTGTGGCTGTCCCGTTGTCCCAGCAACTGGGGGGAAACCTTACGAAAAAGCAGTTGACCGCAGGTATCTTAGTTTATTTTTGGACTTCCAGTTTTATTCCCTTGATCTTTATGCTTCTCCTTCTGCCAGCACCACACCTTATTGATTACCATTGCTTCGTAGTAAGTTTTGAAATCAAGACATACGAGTCCTACTTTGTTCTTCCTTTTACATGACTGTTTCAGCTATTCTGGGTCTCCTGTGACTCCATGTGAATTTTAGGACGAACTTGTCCATTTTCACAAAGAAGTCAGCTGAGATTCTGATAGGGATTACATTGAATCTGTAGATCAATTTTGGAAGGTGTTGCCATTTTAGCAATGTGAAGTGTTCCAATCTATGAACAAAGAATGTTTTCCCAACTATTTAGATC